AGAGACAGACGGGTACCTGGACAGTGTCTCAGTGTCTCCCTCTCGCCCTCCAGTTTGCTTCGTCCGTAGACGTTGAGAGGATTCGGAGAGTCGTCTTCTCCGTACGGAGGATTGCGGCCGTCGAACACGTAGTCGGTGCTGATGTAGATGAGCAGAGCTCCACACACAGCTGGAGAACAATGTTGGAGATGCTGAGTTACCAACATGGTCTCCACAGAAACGCCTGTCAGCTGCTGTTTGAACAGACCCCCTTCCTCACATCAATGACTTCCTGCTGCCAACCTTTCAGTCCAGCATTACGTCACCATGCTGCTGCTTTTCTTTTGGACGAGAACACTTGACAGTCTAAGCTGTCCTGTGAGGAAGCAGAAGAGTAAAGATCTGATTCAAGTTTTCTGAGGGGACGGTCAGTGTTTCTGTACTGACAGCAGTCCACGTCCTGATGTCCCACAGAAGCCGGGCCAGCCTGAGGCCAGTTCACATATTCAGAATACATTTTCCTTTTCTGGCTCAACCAGAAACCACCAAGTCAACCAGGGTATCTGAACCTGCTCTGAACACGCTCACAGGAAAAGGCCCGAGTCAGCAGCAGACGACCAATCAGCAGCATGGACAGGTGCTGAGCAGCATATCTCTCAGGAGGAAAACAAACCGTAAGAGTTCACCAGAATGAGGAGCTGAAAATATGATACAGACTAAAGTAACACAGCTGCTGCAGCAAAGTCAGGAAGAAAACCTGAACCCAACGTGTATGAATGTTCAGTACCGGTGCATGGCCAAGGCAGGAGGAGATGTGAAGTAAACAGTGTGCTACGTGTTGCATGGACATGTTCTTGTGGCGCGTTTCATCCTTTCAGCTTGTTACACGTTCAAGGCTTCACGACTTCATTCTTCTGTTTCAGGAATCTGAACACACCTGCAGAGCTGTGAAACTGGATTCTCTACAAACTCTGAACCACTGGGGACATCATGTCATCACTGACCTGCCTCTCTGGCGAGCGTGCTCGTGGCGTGCACGTTCAGATTGACAGCTGCCTCCGTGTGTCTCTCCACAACGTCTGGACGTCTCTCTGCTGCACAGTGGACGATCACGTCAGGCTGAGACAGAAAGACAGTTTAGTGACGAGGCTCACTTACATTCAGTGTGAAAGAAGCTGTGACAGGAAGGCGGCGTCACAGAACCGCTCTGAGATGTTCTGGTTCGACCCGGGTCAGCTGCATCCTGATAAGACCTCAGAAAGTGTAGAGCTGAAACGCACCCAGTGGGAAACACTGAACCTCAACTAAGGCAAAAGCCGAAGCACACGTGGTCACATTTCTCTGAGGTTCAGTCTCAACACTAGTTTCCAGGGTTCAACATTGATGGTTGATGTGGTTTAGGGTTAACCCTACCAGAGCCACACAGCTGCTCCACACTGACTTCTTCACTGGAAGCACTGGTGCGACCAGCTTTCTCAGTTGGTCGCACCTCCTTCCTGGGCAAAGGGTTAGGGTTAACCCCAAAAGGTTAGGGTTTACCCCAGAGGGTTAGGGTTAAACCCAAAGGGTTAGGGTTAACCCCAGAGGGTTAGGGTTAACCCCAAAGGGTTAGGGTTAAACCCAGANGGTCTTTTTATTCTCTCAGCAAGACTCCATATGAGCAGCAAACAAGAGTCTGGCCTCACAGATCAGGAGCGTTTCAGACTGAGGAAACTTATGCTGAAGTCCAAAAGACAGCTGAACGATAAAGGTGGAAGCCAAGTTTGTTTTAATTAATTTAATTGTTTTTATCCTGGTTTTTAACATGTCTTTTGTCATGGATGTTTTTAAACTGGGTATTTTAAATGTAAACAGAGCCAGAGATCTGAGGAAAGGAGGCAATATATGAGACAGCCACACTTAAAAAGATAGACGTCCTGTTCCGTCAGGTACCTCACAGTGATTTTAGCAACGAGGCTGAGTGGAGGAGGGAGTGGGAAGGGGAGGCCATTTTAGGCCACCACGCTCCTCTCAGTGGAGTAGTGTGCCTCCTCTTGTCCAGGGCTTTTAATCCCAACTCACTGGAGGTCCAGCACTGTGTGTAGGAGGAAGCTGTTTTTAGTTAAGGCTCAGTTCGACCATTTTAAAGTTGCTTTTTATGAACATCTATGCCCCAATAGCCGGTGCAGAGAGGAAGCAGTTTTTCCTCAAATTAATTGAGGTGGTAAGTGGGTGTGGCATAGAGGACTATTTGTTTCTGGGTGGGGATTTTAACTGCATGGAAGACGCAAAGCTAGATCGCAACCATGCAGAGCCTCATCCAGCCTCTCAGCACACCTTAAAGCAGCTGGTCCACTCTCAGGGCATAGTGGACGTCTGGAGAAGGATGCAACCTGACTGTCGGCAGTACATCTGGTCCCACCTTAGAGAGAGCAGGGTCTCCTCAGCCAGGTTTGATCGCATTTATTGTTTCAAGCATCACTTTAATGTTTTTCGAAAGTGTGATATTTTACCTGTTAGTTTTACAGATCATTGTTTACTTTTAAACAGCATTTTTATCAGGAATGTTTTACCAAAAAGTGCCCCCTGGCATTGTAATTCTGTTTTAACCTTTGACAAAAGTTTTAGAGAGGCTTTAATGTTTTTTTGGAAGTTTTTAGACAGAGGAAGGGTGATTTTAGCAGCCTTAGGCAGTGGTGGGACCACGGCTAGACTCAGATTGAATTTCTGTGTCAGCAGCATACCCTAAATGTCACAGGTCACATCACCAGATCTGTGAAGGATCTAGAGACTGAAATAGTGGAGCTGGAGCGTTTGAGCGAGTCCACAGGAAATCAAGGCTGCATTGAAAGCCTCAAAGGCAAAAAAATGGCTTTAGCCGACCTGCTGAACGTTAAAGTGCAGGGCGCACTGGTCCAGTCCCGGTACCAGACCATCTCGGGGATGGATGCTCCCTCTAGCTGCTTCTTCAGTCTGGAGAAAAAGAACGGACAGGGGAAAGTAGTCCACACACTGCTCTCAGACACGGGGCAGGAGATATCGGAACCATGCCAGATGCGAAAAAGGGCGGTGAGCTTCTATGCATCCCTGTACAGGAGCGAATACGAGGAGGAGCAAGGTCTCCTCGAGGGGTTCCAGAGGGGACTACCTCAAGTCTCCACGGAGACGAACAGGCAGCTGGAGGCCTGCCTCAAAATGCAGGAGCTGCAGGCGGCACTGCAGGCAATGCCAACGAGCAGGTCTCCAGGGATTGATGGGCTCACCGCTGAGTTCTATAAGACATTCTGGGACATCCTGGGTAGGGATGTCCTAGATGTCTTCAACGAGTGTCTGGCCTCTGGTTCCATGCCAGTGCCCTGCAGGAGAGCAGTCCTCACTCTGCTCCCCAAGAAGGGGAACCTGCAGGACATCAAAAACTGGCGCCCTGTGTTTGCTCAGTGTGGACTACAAACTCCTGTCCAAAGTATTGGCCTCCAGGCTGGAGACAGCTATGGAGCAGGTCATCCACCGGGACCAGACCTACTGTGTCCCCGGCAGGTCCATGGTGGACACTGTCCACCTGATTCAGGATTTTTTGGAAAGCTCTAGTCCTTTGGATATCGATGCTGGTCTGATTTCAGTAGACCAGGAAAAGGCTTTTGATCGTGTTGAACACGACTTCCTTTGGAGGGTCATGGAAAGTTTTGGGTTCAGCGTTGGTTTCATAGCCAAGATTAAGGTGCTGCACAGGGACATTGAGAGTGTGCTGAAGTTCTGTGTGCTCCTTTTGGAGTGTTTACAGGCGTCAGGCAGGGCTGTGCTCTGTCTGGGATGCTCTATACACTCTCTCTGGAACCTCTCCTCAATAAGATACGCTCTCGTCTACAGGGTCTGTTTTCACCGGGTTTCAGTGAGAGCATGATTTTATCCGCATATGCGGACGATCTTATTGTTTTTATCAAGAACCAGGAAGAAGCAGACATTTCAAGTAGTATAATTAGGGATTTTACTGTGACATCGGCTGCAAGGGTCAACTGGAAAAAGAGTGAAGCCCTCGCTGTTGGTAAGTGGCATGACGGTCTTCCAGTTCTTCCCCAAAGTTTAACTTGGAAAAAAGATGGTTTTAAATATTTAGGAATCTATGTTGGAAAAGAACATTTTGTTCAGAAGAACTGGGAGACCGTCATGGAAAAGATTGAAGGTAGGCTCTCCAAGTGGAGGTGGCTCCTCCCAGAAATGTCACTCAGAGGCAGGGTCCTAGTTTTAAATAACTTGGTAGCATCCCAACTGTGGCATCGGCTCACCAGTGCAGACCCTCCTCCAGGTCTCCTGGCTCAAATTCAAAAGAAAATGGTGGA